AATCTTTCGCTTACTGGTATAGCTTCCATATACAGCTAAGCGTTTAGCATCTGGTTTCCTGTGCGAGCCATGTGTTCGGCCAATCCCGACTGAGGAGGATTATGATTAAGAATAATTATCCAGGAGAGCTGGTTGATAACAATTTCAGAATATTTTCAAACGGAATGTAGATAAAATACATATTTAGGGCGAGATAAAAAGATAAAAGATAAAAAAGAATTCTACCCTTATCTGTAGAAGAAGATAGGTGAAATACTGAGGTGAGACATCAAAATCATTTATAGAGAAAATAACACTGTCCTCGGTATTCTTTCTTTTCGAGAAAATTCTGATCCATTCTCCAGATTGGGCTGTTAAAAATTTTGTGTCCATGCGGTAGTGCCTATGCAGGAGACCTGTAGACTCATAAATAAGAGGTTATCCGAACACAAAACAGCCTGAAAGGGTATGAGGGTCCGAAAATCGGGATTGGCCGAACACATGGCCCGCACAGGAAACCAGATGCTAAACGCTTAGCTGGATATGGAAGCTATACCAGTAAGCGAGCGATTATGGAGGCGATATAAATCAACAAAACAGTCAACATCCTTAATAGAGGGAATGAGTGTAGAAAGTTAAGTAGAAACTACTTGTAGCTGTTGAATAGGTTTAGAAAGAGAGAAAGGGGGGACTAGATGTACCACCGAGCAAGAGGAGGCTTGAATTCGCTGGAATTTGGTTTTGACTCTCACATCACATTTATATTTAGAGAACCGCACTCACATTACGCATGGCAATGGGACGGAATCACATGCGGTAACAGTGCATTATTAAATGCATAAGTGTTTTAGGGGAGGATGTAGCTGTTCGGTTACAATTGCACCCATTTCACACTTCATCTGTAGCCACTTCACATGTCATCCACAGTCACTTAACTTAACTTGTGAGCAATTATAGAGGCCAAGTATAGGACATCCAACCAAATCATGAGATGCACAAGTGGACCAAATTGGAATATAAAGAGGAAGTAGGTTTGAAGCCGGCCACCTTTCTTGTCGTCGTGTTTGTGTTGTATTATAGTTAACGATGGTGTCCTGCTTTGACGATGTCCGTCAGATAACGGACCAAAGCTCAGCAAGGGTTCTTCGCGGTCGCAGGACGGTGCGCCGAGGACAAATCAGCAGAAAACTACAACCACAGCTCCAAGACAACCCCCACAGCCTCGAGTGGAACCAACTTACGAATCATTTACACTCGCCTCTTCAAACGAAATGAAAGGTACTCCAATACAAGAAACACGTGTTTTAGTCAAACAATAACAAAGTAGACTTCTTTACCAGTAAGCTCTAATATAAAAGTTTTATGAAAGTTTTTTTAAGAAAATCTTGAGATGCACATCAGCAAGGAAAAAATCTGATCTGGAGGAGGGTAAAAAAAGGGTTCAGTGGAAATTAAGCTGTCAAAACGCTAGTCAATTAGGCAATAAAGAATATTTCGTATCAAAAGATAACTTTAGAACAAATTAGGATGAAAATAAATATTATTTATATATATACAGGGAACAAAATAAAATGCATATATAAACCAATAAATAATGGAACCCAAAGGTAATTATACAATAGAGGTTTATTGACCTTGTTTTTGCAACTTGGTCATATTTGTAGGAAGACTTAGAGGAACGCACCTAATACGGAGTCCATTGTATGCATGATCATTGCCAAAGTCGGACTATTTACATGGTACATTACCAGACGTTTCGCCGGCATCGTAGTCGGTATCGTCAGTGAGTCTCGCCATTCTTAGCACCACACAACAACTCGACAAAGAGACAAAAGAAGCCGACCCTTTCACCAAACGTGTGTTAAACAGTTGTGATATCTCCCCTTCTGCCCTGGACTATTCACATTTCTTATATCCTCTTATCACTCCTTCACTGTTACAATTTTTACCATGCTTATTTCGATGTAGTGTGGTGTGATCTTTGAGCGGAATTCATTAAAACCCTTTACACTCCACGCTGTCGTTCTCATCCCTATCACCCTCGTGCTGGGAATATTGATCAGTCTGTTGTATTGTTACGCAGTCCTCCTTGTCTAGGTCTTAGCACAGTCCCTCTCTTAAACCGTCAGATCCGTCTGCTATCGCCCCGGTTCACGTATTTCACTCGGCTCCTGCCACCCCATCTCTTCTATTCGAGGCGCGATTCGCCCTTTTCTGCGTATGGGTGACTAATTCGAGGCTAAAACATCTAAGTAAGTCTCATCGTCAAATCTTTGCTACATGGACCACGTCAGCCAACTAGATCCGGTCTCTGCCGCGTCTATCCTATTTCTATCCTTAATACCAAGACTATGACTTGCTTCATATGTCCTAGTTTCTTGTGTGCCAACCCACAATTGTCGTGGTTCTGCTTGTTATGATTAGGCTCACTGAAGACGTCTCCTCTTGGCTTCTGAATGTTCCTTTCTAGTCCCCTTGCAATTTATTTTCCTAAAAGTAAGGATCTTACCTTGATCCAGTCGTCTTGTTTTTGCTGATCTTGCTGTTGCCTTGTCTTCTTCGAGTTTGTTTAGGTAATATGCAAAGTTTTCGCTGATCCTGCTTTCTTCAATTCTCCTGTTCATTAGATTTATCTTGAGCAGTATATCGGTGGCCTCTCGGATCTTGCATTTTCCCGTATTTCCACCATATGCAGCCAAGCTTTTGGTCGATTTCCAGTCTATTTCGTGCCTAGTTCGTGCAATGTGTTCCGCTATTTCGGATCTTTTCGAATCCATGTTCCTGAAGAGTCTTTGATGTTCCTTGATTCGTAGGCCGATTTTTCTCCCTGTTTCTGCGCACAGTTGCCGCATTTGATGCGAAAAACTCCCGAGCAATCAAGTATGTCCGTCTTCTCGTGTTGCTTTGGCAGACTGGTGACTTGATATTCCATTTCCTTAGTAACGGTCGCAATTGATGGGTCAGTTCTGATGAGGGCAGGCAAATCCACTTATGGTTGTCATCCTGATTACTGATCTGATTTTAATAAAATCCGAGTTGAAATCGGCCCTTAATAACCTCTACATTTTTTTCTATAAATTCTCTGGGGTATTCGTTACTAATGCAAATCCGTATCAGTTAGTCCAACTCCTTGTCCAAGAACTCAGTGCCCCTTAGTCGTAAGCTACTGATGCTCAAACTCTTCACTATTCCTATCTTTACTCTGTAGTTAAGGTGAGACTGAAAATTAAGGAATATTCCTACATATGAATTCTTTCTGTATAGTTTCATTATGAGTATACTTTTGGAGCGCTTGACTTCAATATCCAGAAAGGGTAGTCGTTTATCCTCCTCCACCTCCATTGTGAAATTAATTCTTTTATTAAGTTTGTTAATGAAATTGAGAAATTCATTTAAATTTTCCTTACCATCTGACAAAAGTGCAAAGTAGTCATCCAAGTATCGCATAAGCACTCTTGGTTGCAGTGGTGACTTCTCAGATTCCCTTTCCAACTTGCCCATGTACATATTTGCCAAAAGAGGTGAGAGTGGAGATACCATCAATAGTCCAAATATTTGGTCGCAGATACTACCGATAAATTCAAATGAACTTCGCTAGTTTGTGTATTGCTCCGTGTTTGCTGCTGACTCTTAATCCTAGCGGATTTCCTTCCTTGTGTATCTTCGGTAGTCCGTAAGCTGTCTTGCGTCATTTTTGAATAAAGATTTTATCATCCATCTGTCAATTTCCCCATTATTATGCATTTTCTTGAGCATATTCTTCAGTGTCCCGTTGATCTTTGTGGTTGGATCCTGGCTTAGTATTTGATAAGTCTTCCGGTCGACAAAAATACTTTCCAGTTTTTTCGTGTACTTTTCCTGACCATTACAACCGTCGCTCGTACGTTATCCGCCTGAAAAAAATATTTGCTCATACTTTTGTAATTTTTTTCCGAATAAAAGACAATCTGCTCCTGTGTATCGGTTCTTGCTGTGTCAGGATTCGTAGGATTATTTACAGTTTCATCTCCCGTCTGGTTTCTTCTATATTGTCTGTTATGATGACAACTTCCACCAGAATATCATTACGAACATTTCTTTAATTACCTATTGAAAAAGGTAACCTCTTCTTTAAGAGATCCATAGTTTCATAACCAAGAGGGATTGAGGATAGGTTTACCACCTTAGCCCTATCGTCGTCTGTAGCAGTTAATGCCTTCAATACAGAACCATCAAAATTTGCCTGTGCTGGCTCGGTCTTGCGCTGTCTTATTATCCCATAGCTAAGCAATTTCTTGTCATGCCGCCTATTTATCCAGGGCGCTCTGTGCTTTTGGGTCCGTCATGCTCTGGAGTTTTTGAAAATCATCCAAAGTGAGGTCCCGACCTAGATCCTTCCTTAATCTAGACTTGATATATATGAACTTAACTAGCTTACGCCCCTCAGTCTCGTAACTTTCCTCTAATTTCTAGATGGAAACGTGATAAAGTATTTCATTAGCTGTATCCGAACGACACTTTCTCATTAGATTGAACAATCGGGAAACGATACCATAATGTTTGGAACAATTCAAAAAGGCCAAATGGCAGGATTGACTTGAAATTGTCTTTTTTCTCCGGCTGTAATCAGCGCATTGTTTGGCAATCTTATGTAAGTTCTGAACAAAGATCAATATTTTAAGGAAATCAATAAAGTAGTCATTTTTTACAATTTTAATTTGTGCCTTTAGTAGTCATTATTGTTCCAAGTAATAATAATGACTTCACCAAAGATTGGATGCTATAGGATATTTTGTTCCATTGAGTATCTGCCATAAAATCAAAGCGTACATGCAGTACGCAGCTCATAAGGATTCAATAAGTTAGTGCTAGCAAGTTTTCTATTTAGTAAATATTTGAGGTTATGAGAACTTACAATCAAAATATTTCCAGCGACATCATCCCACCAAAGCGAGAGTCGATCGATATTCACCAAGCCAGCCTCCGTCAACTTAGTAATAGGAAATAAACTTGGGTCCTGAGGACAAAATAAAATGAAAATAAAAAAGGATCTTAATAATAGAATTGAGTGAGAAGTTTGAAATGTACACAATATGCGAAAAAAAGTTGAATTTCAAGGAATCTGTTGTTTCTTAATTGTTGAGCTTACTTTCATTTAGATTGAAAGTGTTTGGTGAAGAGATTCGAAGGTCGATTCCATCAGAATACGACGGCGGATTCCCCTTGACAAGCTGTAGATTGGCTTTACTGGAAGCTTTATGTTGACGCTGTTTTCGAGGCAATCTCCTTCGATTCCGGAGAAAAGGCGTAAAGCTTTCGTCCGCCATATAACGAAAAACATTAAGGCAAGGTATCATTATTACAACCAAATTCAAGCTAACAAGTCAAGAAAACTCACCTCAAATCCTTTAAAAGCTGTATATATACTCTATATCTGGTCTCTTTGATGAGGTATAAAGTGATTTGGTTAGTTAGTCATATGTCAAAAAGATATACACGAGAAAAGACTAGTTGCGTCGCCTCCGTTTTGCGAGCGGCTCAACTCCCTCTCTATCCTTCAGTCTATTAATTAAGCATTAGTAATTTTTGACCTTGTTTTCGCAAGATGGTCATATTGGTAGCAAGACTTAGAGGAACGCACCTAGTCCGGAGTCGATTGTCTGCATGATCATTTCCAAAGATGAACCGTGGACGAGGTACATTCCCGAACGTTTTACCGGCATCGTAGTCGCCATCATCAATGAGTATCGATATTCTTAGCACCATACAACAACTCGTCAAAGAGACAAGTGAAGCCGATCCTTTGACCAAACTTATGCTGAATAATTGTGGTTCTCCCCTTCTGCCCTGAATTATTCGCGTTTCCGGTAGCATCCTATCATGCCTTCACTATTACAATTTTACCGTGTTGAGAAATTGTAAAACTCACTAAAGATGCCGACTACGATGCCGGCGAAACCTACAAACATTTGTGGGTTGGCACACAAGAGACTTTTGCTCTCCTAATTATTTTGAGCCACCACTGCGGGTTTCATGCATAAGCGAACACAAACAGGCACATACACATACAGAGACAGACACACTCACATGTTTCGAGATTGACATATGACCGTAACTAACCAAATCACTTTATACCTCATCAAAGAGGCCAGATATAGAGTATATATACAGCTTTTGAAAGATTTGCTGGTGAGTTTTCTTGACTCGTTAGCTTGAATTTGGTTGTGACAATGATACCTTACTCTGATGTTGTTTGTCATATTACGGAAGAAAGATTAGCACCTTTTCTCCGGAATCAAGGAGGTTACCTCAGAAACAGCGCCAACATAAAGGTCTCAGTAAAGCCAATCGAAAGCTGGTCAAGAGAAATCCGCCGTCGTTTTCTGATGGAATCGACCTACAGATCTCTTTACCAAACACTTTCACTCTAAATATAAGTAAGCTCAACGGGTACACAAAAGACTAAAAAATATAAAAATTCAACAAAAATTACTTGGCAGATGACAATTAAAAAAGAACTCAAGCGGATACAAATGTACAATGTTCAACATCATAAACATTGAAATTTCTAACCTCCAACTCAGTTACTGAACAGAAGGTAACATGAATGAGGTTCAAATTCATAGAGAAAAAGAACAAAATTCAATAAACTTTCCTTTCTAGTAACATTGGCAGATGTATTTAAAAGTACATATTTATTGTAAACGAATAGGATCACATATGATTTGTCGGTATAAATAAATAAAAAATAAAAAATACGGCTGGAAACAAAGCTGGAGACATATTCTCTGTCTTCAAAAAAGCTGAGAGCAGTGCTCATTAAGTGTTCGGTAATTATTAAAACCTCAATAACTAATGGGTTAAGAGCAAGAAAGGCTTATGAAATCTTTGATTATTAAAAATTAGTTTATGGGTCGCATAAGGTGGGTAAAGGACTGATATATAACTTTTTTGGATTAGCCACCGTAAAGGTTTTTTCAACCAGGGTGTTGTGCAGTTTCCCACTCGTCTTGGACTCATTAGCATTTTTAACATGATTCGAAACCGAGTCATTAGAATCGAAGCTACACGATGCCCCTTCGCCATAATGACATGGGTGCCAGAGGAACACAGGGAATATAAGACCTTCAACTCAATCCAGATCTCATCCAAATCATATTTATAGGAATATCATTAATGAAGCAAACATGTATTTGCCATTACAAATGAGGGCGTTATATATAATCGGCATAACTAGGCTTCAGTAATCTTAATTAAGAATTTAGTCACTACAAGTCACTTAAGGTGGATTAAGTCATAATAGTGGAGTTTTCCCAAGCATAGAACAATCTAAAATGTAAACAAGACTTATCACACAAGAAGGAATCTGGGACAGGAAATGAAAAGTCAAGCTGCTTTAAATATTCGTAAACCAGCAATAATTTATTTGTAACAGCATCACTATGCATTGAGAGAAACCTTGATGAATTAAAAAGAACACTATCAATTATTTAACTCATGTAGGCAACAACACAAAATCTACATTAACATAGGAAAAATGACCTCATTGATGCCATAATGACTCCAAGCAATTAAAATAAATAGTTAAAAAAAGACTAGGAAAAATCAAATTACATTAAGTTACCTTTCAGAGCATAAGAAATAACTACCTTGTTCAGAGAAGCGACATTCGAAGTCTCAGCGGCCAGGTGACAGAGGGCGCGAATGAGATGCATCAAGGATGAGCCATCCAGACGTCTGTAAATTTTCAATTTGTGGACGATAAAGCAATGAAAACTAAGAATACAACTGCATATAAACCGAATATAACGCCATATATGTTGTTATAATGAATAAGGTAAATGAAAATATTTAAAATCATAGATATAGAGATCAAGATGGTATGGCCTTAGGCTTTGTCGCAGTAGTCAGGATTTAGTGCTTTGAGAAACTCGAGACAAAGGATGCAACAAGTTGCATAATATACTATGTATGATAGGTCAAGGTGCGAACACGGCATTTCGCGGAGCAAATGAGAAATAGCAAAGGCAAATTGAATAAGAAATAAGCAAATGTTTGCAGGCTTTATGTAATTATTGTAAATACCAAGTATGAAAACTAGGCAGAGTATAAGCAAGAAGGAAATATAGAAGAAAGAGACGACACTGAAAATTACAGATGGTAAGGAAAAATGTATAGCGCAGAAATTGCAGATAGGAGTCCTAAAAACTATTTGGAATAATTAATTAAAGAGACATACAAATAAAGGATTATGACTAGAATATTGTAGAAATATATCCAAAAATTTAAGGCTGTGGATTATTCAATAAATGAGAAATAATTTTTATTTGGGGTCATAAGTAGGATTTTGAGACAACTATTCTGATCTAATTTTAATTAAGTAAGTTTAAGCAAACATCGATTAAAGGAAGGTTTTCGAGTTTCATTTGAAATTCATCCACAATACGAAAATCGATAAAAAAGGAACAGAAGAAAAAATGGTAAGATATGAGGGTCTGTCAATGGCGATTCTAAGCAAGTAAAGATAACCCGACCTATTAATCGAGTAGTAGTAGTCACTTCGTCTTGAAGTATATACGGAAACTCATCAAGGTCTGGTAAAGACGTAAGCACAAATTCTGAGCAGATACTTAGACTATTTATGCAGAAAATATTGTTAATATTGTCATTTAACGGATTTTCCTTCTGAACTAGATTAACAAATTGGATGACTGAAATAAATTAACTTAATAAGTACTGGAAATCTAGGATCTGCAAAAGTATTTGCATATAAAGATGGGCAGGTAGGTCAGAAGTGGCAGAATACGTCGCCAAAAACTGGATATATAATGGATTGGGATACAATTTAACAGGAACACAATACCAGTATAATGTGTAAGAATTTACTCTGTCATTCATCCTATTCAGAGAATATGGGAGTGGGAGCGGAAAAACTATTAGATGTGTTCTAATAAATTACCCGGTAAATTCAACTAAACAAATTCTGTAAGAAAAATTAGATAGGTAAACCAATATACGTTTTGATTTGCTTGCAACCTTTTATGTATAGCTACGTAATCAGATTTAAGATAATTTATGCATAAATTACGAGTAGTTTTATATTAATAAAGCTCACCTAGATCCTTCAAAAAGCAGTGATAAGAGGTTAGATAGATGTGGCAGTTCATTGATTAATCCATTGGCCAAAACCAAATTTCCTGGTAATCCAAAAGGAGAGACGGTATTCGTTCCACCCAAACCAATTCCACAACTAGGCCCAGGGATAATACTCACAGCCCCATTATTAGCACTGCCACTACTACTACCACTACTACTCCCACTAGGTCCGACAGATGCGGTATGGACGGAGGAAGCAGCCGGTGCTGACTGATGCTGTCCTGTCCAAAATATAGAAGAAGCATCGATACCCAAAATGGCTGCGCAGGCTGCTTTCTTAGATGAAACAGGACTGGGAACACTGAATTGACTGCTAGAACCGACGAGGGTCATAGATGAGGTTGAGTTCGGAGCATGTTGAAGGATTAGAGATGTCGAGGGTGTTATTCGCAAGCCGATCATCCAAGAGAGATGCTGATAAGGCAGTGATAGTGAGGGGAACAATGTAATGATGGATGATAATGCATTTGTCAATAGTATATATCAATTTACTGACATAATTAAGAACAGCTGTCTCATATGCATACAAATGTTTAGCTTATAGCAAACGCCTGTAAAGACAAAGCTGTACTTGAAAGAAGGATGGGTCATATAAACACATACAAGAACTTGAGTATACGCTTACCAAAGACGCCAATATATATATATCAGGGAAGCTGTATCACTTTACGAATAAGAAGTTTTAGCATCAGTGATTTTATTGGAAATGACAAATGGTTTCTACTTTCAAAAGACTAGAATCCTAATGTGATCTTCACTCAGAATAAGTCATATAATTAAATGCCCAGTTTTTTTATAGATTCCCAAAAAACTGCAGTCGAATAACTTTAGGCCCTAAAATCCAATGTAGATAAACTAGAATTTTATAATAGAAACTTGAGTCACTCAAGGACCGATAGTCTCGAAAAATACCCACAGTTAAAATAGAAATCTAGAATACTAGAGATACAAGAAAAATATGTTATTCGCATTAACAGGCGTAGTTAGAAATGCATTTTGCTTTCCATGCCATCTAAGTGAAGAACTGAACTTAAACACCAAACAAGAAGGGTATAAGTAGTAGAACAAACATTGTGATAATGAACCAAATATTAGGAAAAAGAATATGGAAGGAAGTAAACATCTAAATTACCTGAAGAGTCGTAAGTACAATAGTCCAAGAAGTACCCAACATGTCTCCGTGTTGGTACGCAAGATCCAAAAGGGCCCTGAAGATTTGAATTTGCTTGGCTGTGAGCACAAGACTTCCAGAAACGAAAGGAGCATTACCCGGAGAATTAGGAGTGG